CATAGCCCCTGCCAGCTCTGCAGTTTGTTATTGTGCTGCTTTGACACCAAAAAGCAATAATCCCAGAGAAGAACAAGTGCTACCTTATGGCACAAGGTACCCCTCCTGGCACCAGTACATGAGCCCAAGGAGACCCCTGAGCCTCTCTCCACGTAGTAGCATCCGTAGCATGGTGCGGGGACAGCTTTTCTGTCTTCCACCTTATGACACAAGGATGTCTGGAGGAGGGTCTGCAGAGGAGCACAGGTAGATGAATGGTGAGGATAGCCAGAAAAGACCCCATGGTGCTCTGCCTTGCGGGGTTTCGATGTGGTGTGCCCCAGGGTTTGGCTGGCACAAGGGGTGGGCATGGTGGGCAGGAGCAGCCCTGCCTGGAGAAACACTCATCCTCTGGGACTGACAACCCCCCCAGGGCCTGCTCCCAGGGCAGGGCTGTGGTTTGGCTGGATGAACTGAATCAGGGGGAAAGAAGAAGAAGAAGGGGGGACTGGGCCAGGGGGCACTTGCTGGGAGAGCTGGGTGACTGCGGTGGTCTTGCCAGAACAGAGCCAGGGAAGCTGATGCGTTGCACTTAGCCCTGTGGGTGCTGCTGCCAGACTGCAGCCTGCCCAATTTCCCTGGGATGCTTGCTTTTGCTGACCTGCGGAACGGGCAATGGGGATGTAGGTGTGTGCCTCAGTGCCTCGGTTGTCTTCAGAAGTCAGGTCCTTTGGGGGAGAAAAGGCGACGGAGACATGGGAGGGGAAAGGTGGAGCACACGGGTAATTCTCTGTCTAGGACTCTGCACTTGTGTCTTTGCTGTGCCATAGGGATCCTGGGGCAAAAATAGAAAGCAATGATCCCTGATTATTCAAGGGACTTTACTTTGGTTGTGTTTGTTCTCCTGTTATGTTTTAATCAAGCATTCTCTCAGGTAAACTTTGTCACATACGCCAAATACATTGCAGTGTGTTGCACTGAAGTGGTAAGACTTATTCCTCGTGGGAAATGGTGTTTGCACACTTCAGCAGGCCAAGACTAAAAGCACTGGGCTCACCCAGGCCAACCAGTGAGCAGTGCAGAGCTTCTGGGCAGAGGCCAAACTTCCCTTACCCAACACGCAAGTACTAATTTCAGGTCAGTGACCATGGGTGATCCTCTTTACTTGCAGAAGGTTCTGCAGGCAGAGGACATAAGGGTATTTTGTGACTAAATTACTCTTTGCAAGTCATTTGCTTGGCTCTCTTGCTACTCATCCTTCATGCAAAGGAACCAGAGCTTGCTCTCTGGAAGAACAAACCATTCTCCAGACAGATATTGTTTTTTCATGCAAGGTCTCCGTGTCATGCCTCTTCTATACCACACTGTTTTCATTTCATAGCCTTGAGTTCCCTCTAAACCCGCTTTTTCCCAGATGCAGTAGCTGGGTCACAGTGGCACAGGTTTGTGAGAGCACTGTGGATAAACCTGGCCTCCCGGCGAGGGGCTTGGTGTGACTGACCGTCTGCACCTCCTTGGGCTGTGTGCGACAGCCCTGCACAGAAGGGCTCCTCTCGCTCAACTTCAGACATCTCCTTCTGTGCCAGTCGCTCTTGGCTATTCCATAGTTTGGGAAAGACATGGGACTTGCTTTACCTAGCCCATTTGGGGTTCCTATGTTAAGATGCAGTGGAAATCTTAGAGGTGCCCACTGAATGCAAAGAAAGCTCATGTATCAGTGCCTGCACTGCAGATGGGTAAGGACACTCAGTCAACAAACCTGTCTGTAGCCGCTGGCAGCAGATGGAGCTGCCACCATGATCAGGTTTGTCACTGTCTTGATTTTTGAGGAACTGCATGTGGCAGGCATTTGCCACATCTATATCCACCAGTAGGGCCTTGGGATTTCCCATGCTGGTGCCACCCCAACTGCAATTAGGCAAGGACACCCAAGGAGTGCAGGGAGCTCTTTGGTCATGGAGGCATACTCAGGGACAGCTCAGGTTTGCATCTCAGAGTGTCACTGTAAATTAATCCATGATGAAACACACCCTGGGAAAGACACTGAGTTTCAGGGTGAAATGGAGCGTAAGAGAGAAAATGACCCTCTCAGGAGAGTCAGGGTACAGATGGTTCAGGCTTTCCTTGTGGGTGCAGGAGACTTGGGGTCGAGCCTGAAGATTTGAACTTGGTCTCCCACGTCCCCAAGCTTTTCCTTGATCAGTTGCTTTCAACAGTCAGTTGGTTGCTTTTGTCCCCAGGGGTATAGAGTGAGACAGCCTTTACTGACTGACCAGCTGGCCAGGCAGCTTGACTGATAGCAGGAGATATGCCAGACACGCAAGTCTAAAGGGAATCTGTATTCCATTTTTATTTTCTTTCCTAATGCATCAGAAATAACTTGAGCAGGTGGATACCTGCCCATTTGTTCCTAAAAGCCATTCATCCAATGATCAGACTGTTGTCAATAACCAGCAATTGATGACATGACTGCTTAAGCATGCATCCTTGCTAATGGAACAATTCCTTGTTCTGAAAAACCGCACGATTCAGTATTGTATTGCTAATCCTGTTCTATATACAAAAAATATACACACATACATACACATAGGATGTACAGAGACATTTGCATGCACACAGGGACTTCCTTCCTTATTTCCAAGGGCAGGACATTCCAGGCTGCACACCTCACATGGACTCCATAAATTTCTACTTTGACATGTCCATTGTGCTATTTCATAACCTTCTTCTGGGTTCCAGATTATAGCATTAACCTTTTGTTGGCCAGAGGCTGGTCCTGGTAAACTCTTCATTCCTAACAGGCCTACTCTGACGTCCAGGCTTTCAACTGGGCAGGACCCATTTCCTGCATTTTTCCTGGAAACCTGCAGCCTCTTGGTACCCTTCAGTTGCATTTTTGACACTTCAGAGTTTCCCAGAGCAGCCCAATTGTTTTCTGCCCAGCTTTTTTGAGAAAAGGGATTGTTGTTGTTACTGGTGGGGTTTTTTTATTATTTTATTTATTATTATTTTGTTCTTCTCCTCTTGTTCACTGAATCCTGCTTGCATGGGCAGTTTCACATGCTAGCCCAGATGACACAGGCATTGGTCTGCACCTGCGCCTTTGGGTTGTTACACAAGTTTATACAGCCAAAGCGGAGAAGAAACCCTGATTACTGAATGCCTAGGTCTCGTTTGAGAAGCAGGTTATGGCAGGACTGAAGAGTCATGGAACAGGTGCTGGGCTGAAATTTAGAGGTGGAGGACTTTTTTGATGGGAGCTCTCCTGAAATTCTCCTGGGAAGACAGATTAGCACCAGAGGAATATCGTGCTGTGGCTTGGCAAAAAATTCCTGAGAGGGTTTGTGAGGCACAGAGAGCGGCTAATTTGTGGAGTGGAGCAGGGTTAATTGAGGATATCAGAACGGACAGATTTAGATGGCTGCTTGGACAACCATGCTGTATCCATCATGAAATACAAACAAGAGTGTACCTTCAAAAAAGGAATGGAAAAAACCCCATGTTCCTTTTCTTAGAGCCTTGCAATGGTGCATCCTCACTGGTATTGCTTAATGGACACTGCTGGTATACGATGAGACAGTAAATATGCAACGAACCACAACCACACAGTGCACTGGATAACAAGAGGTGAGTAAATCTGTACAACAGGGTGTGTGCGGTGTGGTGTTCTGCTGGGAATCAGTAAAGTTGAGGGCAAAAGTGTGCAAGGTAGTTTGACCAGGGGAAGAGTACTCGTTTAGAGCTTGCAGAAAAAAGTGTCTTCATGCCAAGATCAGTGGGGCTGGAAATGCACCCCCTGCAGTAAAAACATGGAGACATTCCTATATAATGGGAGTTCAGAGAGGAGATCTGGAAAAGCCATGAACATCCAGTGATTTTGATGCATTAAGGTTTGGCTGTTCGGCAGCTCATAGCTTCAGTGATGGTGTTTAGGGCAAGGCTGTCTCACCCTGTGGTGCAGTTCTGGTCTGAAGAGAAGGTCTGAGGATACCAAAGCTCTACAGGACAAATAGGGACCAGAGTGAGTTTGTTATACTGTGTCCTGTGTGGAAGCCAGGAGATGTTCCCAATGGGTGGTCACTGTGCAGGTGATAGCATGCCTTTCTCCACAGGACCTCTCTGCAGCTGGTCTGGGAAGTTCAATGCCTCAGGAAGCCACTAAATTTAATAGATACTTAATCTGAGGAGGGCTAGGATGGGGTGGCTAGAAGGCTTGATGGAGCATTAACACTGTGTGCTACTTAATAAGAGAAGGGTGCTTTGGGCCATCCGATGATCACCATTCAGCTATTATCCTCAGCCGAAAGAAGATAATCAGATGGCCTGAAGTAGTCCTTTTTCAGTCTTATGTCTTTTGTACCTCCCTGGTGTCATGTTTTGATGACTTGATTATTGGTTGCTGCCTTAAATAGGTTCTCAGTAAAATCCTCATTCTTTTCATGTTGTAATAGGATTATCATACAAGATGATGGACGTTTGTACCTAAGCCAAAATACACAGCAGTTTACATGCAGAATAAGTGAAACCATCGAGAAATTGAATTTTCTTAAGATCAGCGCAAAGCTCTTCGAACAGGCCCAACCCACACGGAACATGCAAGTTGCTGTTGAATCAATAATGAAGCAACAAGTTTCAAGGCTGTGCCAGGAAAACAGGGAAATGTCTTGTCTCTCTGATACCCCCTCGCATCCTTACCTACGGAGGAAGTTTTTTCTGCCATCAGTTACTGATTCTCTCAGCACAGGGAAGGGCTGCTTTCCAGTTTGGTTTGAATGCCGGTCCTCTAATCAGCTGGAGAAAAGGAGTCCCTTATATAAGCCAAGGGAAAGGAAATGCTTCTGCGATACGGCTCACATGAATAGCTAGGACTGAGTGCTGGTTGAGTCCCGAAATCCAGCTTCTGCATCTTCTCACCCCATTTTTTAGGGCTGTGTTGACTGGGACAAGTGGCAATTTGGGAGGTTTTCCTCTTCTTACTGGTCTTTCTTTTTCAAGGCAGTCGGTGAAGGCAAGTGGAAGGCATGACACGCTCCTCAGACAAAGAGCTCAACGGGCTAGATAACCCCAGCTTTGTGGTGAGTCTGCTCGTCTCTGAAGGGTAATTCTCGCATAAAAGGGTACAAGCCCTGTGAAAGAAGGAGAAAGGGGATGCTGGGGGCTTGGACTGGCTGTGAGGATGCTGATGTGTGGCAAACGTCTGTCCCGGCTCCTTTGTCAACAGGAATCTGAGGAATGATTTCCTCACTACAGCCTGCTGCTGCTGCTGCAGACTCAGCGTGCTTTCTCCTCTCTGGCACCCTTTTCACTTCTTTTCTCTCCATTATTTCTGAAGTGGTAGCATGGATGAATGGCAGCGTCAGCGTACCTGTACTGAAAAGCAAGTGAGCTGGTGGCTCCTTGCGGCTGTGACCCTAGGTACAGCATTTTATGTATTAATTAGTAGAATTGCAGTAGAAATTTAGCCTAGTGAAGAATGCGTTTCTTTTTTCTTCTGGATCTGTTTCTAGTGGGGTGAATTGTCAGTGAGGTGGTGGAAAAAGGGATTTGGGAGTCAGCAGGGGAGAGCACGCTGCAGAGTTACAGCAGGGTGGTACAAGCTGTAAATGATGTGTCAGTTCAGGGGTGTGCAGTGCAATGGGAATGCTGCGGGCTGTAACAGCCACAGGGCAAGGGCCTGGGGCATGGCACCCCCTTTCTCTCCCACGGCAGGGGCCGCTTCCGTTAGAAACTGAATGAGCTGCTTATGTTCTGACAGCAGGTGTGAAGGAGTGGGGGTCCTGCCTTGGTACCACTACCCACCTGGGTGTCCTTGGGGGGGCATTTAACCTCTCAGCATTTCTTAGGTAACTCTTGCAGTGGAGGGGGGTGCTGTGTCGGTGCAGGCAGAGCCTCAGGTTGGTGCTCAGAGCAAGGCAGAGACTTTCTTTTGCTACTGTTCATGGTCTCCCTTTCTACCTGTTCTGCCATGATGCAGATCAGGCTTGTGACTTTCTCTGGCTTGAACCACCCCGAAAAAGACCTCTGTCTTCTGCCTGTGGTTCAAACAGTTCAGTTTCTGACTGCCTTCCCGATGCGCTTATTTAAGATACTGTGGAGGGCCCCAATGCTCTGCCTGGAGCCTGAGGCACAAGGGGGGTGTCCTGGTCCCCTGGGTTCATGGGACCAGCTTGGCTGAGCATGTGGTTCTCTGTTCACACTCCAGACGGCTCCTGCCTTGTCCTTCTGCCAGCAGTTCAGCACCACAGTCTGAGGCTGGAAAGGACCTCTGGACGTCAACTTCTCCAATGCCCCTGCTCAAGCAGGGTCACCTAGAGCCGGTTGCCTGGGACTGTGACTAGACAGGTTTTTTTAATATCTCTAAGGATGGAGACTCCACAGTTTCTCCAGGCAACCTGTGCAGTACTTGGTCACCCTCACAGTGAGAAAGCGTTTCCTGGTGTTAAGACAGGACCTCCTGTGTTTCACTTTGAGCCCATTGCCCCTGGTCCTGTCTCATCCTGTTATCTCCACTCCATCCTTCTCCCTCTGAGCTCTGCATGCTCACTCCCCTCCAGCTCCTGGGGAGGGTCAGGCCTTCATGTGATGGTCATGTGGGGCTGTTACAGGCACAGGCTCTGCCAGGCTGGAATATGCCTCCTGGTTAACAGAGGGAAAGTTGCAATGCAAGGAAAGGAGCTTACTGCTGTCCTTCTAGCTTAGGATCCATCTACCCGTGGTGTTATTCGGGACTAGCTGTCCCCAGATAACTCCGTGCATGAGCAGTCTTAAGTACCGTGCTGTAAATTTGTTAATCCACGGCTCAGGCTCTCTTGTTCTGAAATCAAAATGTCTCCACAGGGAGTTATTTTATGCCTTTTGCTCTCGAAGTTCATGCCTGCGTTCAGTTTGAATTAACTCTGCCTTCACCTGCCTGTTTTGTAGTATCTGTAATGGTCCCAGCCTGCAGAGGCTGGATAAATACACTGTGTTTGAAAGGTATTACATAGCACACTTTCAACAGTGTTACCTAAAATGGGACCTTGGAGACTCAGCCTTGATAACGGAAACCCAGAGAATTCAGGCAAATGATGAAGTCCTTCAGGATTTATCTGTCACCCCTGTAACATTTACAACTGAATGTAACATTGATTTTGCATCCCTGTTCCCTGACTGCAGCGTTAGCTGTTTGCCTCCATCATTAGGTAGCCCATGAGCGTTGCTGCCGCCACCTCGCTTTGCTGGGCATTTCGGTGTCTTCAGGTTCCAGCAGCACTTGAAGGATAAAAAACCAATAAAGTTTGGTGTTGACAAACTGGTTGAGCTTCTTCTGACAGCGAGTTTCTGTCCTGATGGACATTCCAGCCCAGGAAATCCCTCTGCTGCCAGTGTGCCAGGGACTCGCTGGCTGGAGAAGGGACAATGAAACAAATGGTTTGGGATCTTAATTAGCTTTTGCATTTGGTTGAAAACGTCGTGGCTTCCCAGGAGGCTTCCCTCTACTGCACGTGTGTGTGTGTGGGGCAGTGTGTGTACATGCAGGCGGGATGTGCCCAGAGGCTGTGCGTGTGCACAGGGGTCAGGGTGGGGTGGAAGGAGGGGTGCACAACTCTGGGCATTTACTTACCTTAAAAACTGAAGCAACTGAAATAAGGTACTGTTGTGTTTTCCTTGGCAAAACACATTTCTGTATAAATAAACTGCAGGGCGTACAGCTCTCTGAGGAGCCCTGGGGCTTCGGGCTGCAGGGAAGGGCATCCGTAGGAGCAAGGTTGTCTGGTAAGACAAAGGGCAGCTGTGTTTATCGAGGCAGAACATTTATAAGGGTAAGTGTAAGGAGACAGGGAAGAGAAAGCTTAAGAGAAGAAAATGAAATATAAAACATGCTTCTTCTCTGTTTTAGGACATTTTATCAAAAGTGCTGTTTGGGTGGGACAGCCAGGAGGGTCAGAGACCAAGAGACAGTGCAGTTTTCATGGATTAACCCACTCCTTCTTGCTTCTGGTTGCAGTCTTTCTATCCTTACATAGACATTAATGATACTCACATGCTTTGTCCAGATGTCCCTTTGAGGTTGAGACATCCTCTAATGTTTGTTCTGGTCTAGACAGACATGTGAATATCAAAAAAGTCCGTGTGTGTTTTTACCTCTGTTTTAATTTCCCCCCTTGCTCTTCTTTTTAATTCTGGCTTTGTTGAAAGCTGCACAGGAGGTGTCCCCACAAGACGTGGAGCACAGCTGCAAGAGAGGTGGCTGCTGAGCGCCTGTGGGGCTGGGCTGTGGCTAACAAGGGGTCTCTCCTGTTTGCCAGGGTGAAGATGGGAACTACTACTGCTCCTTGCCGGACCGCACTGCCCAGGGCCCAGAGGAAGGTGGGGTCAAGGGCCATGGCAGCAGCAAGCTTGCCTACACCATCACGGAGGTGCCCCCCTGGTACCTGTGCATCCTGCTGGGCATTCAGGTGTGATGGGGAGCAGGTGGAGGCTGGGGGTGGGTGGAAGTTTAATGGCTGTTCGGCAGGTTAAGGGGGGTGAAACCTGAATTTGGGAGTGCTTTACCTTCACTGGGCATGACTGGAGCTGTGGGGCTGGATCTTGGTGACCTCAAGTCCATCCCACCTCCTGAGCACCGACTGTTATCCTTGTGCCCACAGCTACACTGTGCCCCTTGAAGTGCAAATGCCAAGGCAGAGTCCCAGTGCTGGGGCCAGATAGTCAGTGAGAACAGGTCGGATACCTTGGCTGGAGTTAGCCAAATGTTTAAGGGCTTTTGAGTTTCTGCCTTCCCGTGGCAATAAAATCTCAGCAGAAGGGCCCATGCAGCTTTGGCTGGTGTCCATGCCCGGGTGTGTTAAGTGATCCAATGCCACCAATGCCAGAGCCTCAGGGAAGAAAGACCTTGGAGTGATTAAGGTAACAATGGACTGTGCCTGGAAGTTGGTGGGCATTTTGTCTTTTGTTTCCTTAAACGGTCATCTTAGATGTAGAGTGTATTAAGGCAAGGTTTTCTGAACACATCTGCATCCTAATTTTAATAAAACATGCCTCTAATGAGCACAGTGAGTTTCTGAGTGCCACTAGTTCTGCCACCACAGTCCTGTGCTCTGAGGCAAGAACTGGGGAGTGATAACAACTGAAACAACCTTGCCTTGCCCATTGTTCACCACAAATAAGGTTAATATTTCAAGCAAAAAATAAGTTTGAAAAATTATTTTCACATTTAGTAATTAACTGAAAGTCATTGTAGTGACTCATCTGAAAAATGCAATGCCTGATTTATCCAATTTTTTATGGTTATCCATAATTACACTATATGAGAAAAGCTACTGATAGCAAAGAAAAGCTTCAATCTACCAAGTTTTTATGTTATCCTTTGTGGTGCAGCTGAGATGGACTGAAACATTTGCATTCACTTTGCCTGATCACTCCCTTCCCCTGCCTTGAGATGTCCTCACCTTCCTGGAAGAGTAGCCCCCGCAGCTTTGTCTGCAAGTGCTGGGTTAAACTGGTTGCATCTCACAGCGGTCTGGGAAGTCCAAAGCCCTACAGAAGGTCTGTGGGCATGGAAGGAGGGAGAAGTTTGTGGGGGTGCATTACAGTTCTTGCAGGTGCTTTGGAACAGCCCCATCTAGTTGGAACTAGATGATCTTTAAGGTCCCTTCCAACCCAAATCATTCTGTGATTCTAACAGAGCATTGAAGTTGCCAAAAAAAGAGAATAGGTAGTACTGGTATCACCCAAACACAAATCTGTGAGTTACTTTTAGACTTCTCCCAGCAACATGATAATAATACACAGCCAGTTCCGTGTCCTTCTTCACCCAGTCTTTCTCTGTTACTCCTAGCATTTCCTGACAGCCATGGGAGGTCTCGTAGCCATCCCGCTGATTCTCTCCAAAGAGCTTTGCCTCCAGCACGACCTCCTCACCCAGAGCCACCTGATCAGCACCATCTTCTTTGTCTCAGGGATTTGCACCCTGCTGCAAGTCCTCTTTGGAGTCAGGTAGGCCAAATGCAAGAAATGGGACATGTGACAAAGCAGTCTGTAGATGCAATCACTACGTGCTCAGCCACCAGGCTGCTGTAGAGTTTATCTGTCACTGAGGGTCATTTCCTACCCTTGGGCGATCAGGGCACTTGCCAAAGCATCCTGACATCGCTGTATGTGACAGCTTTGCAGGGCTACCTTGCTGTTCTGACTTCTGCGTCTCCAGGAACTTGATGCACCTTTGTTTGGGCTCATAAGGAGTCTGTCCTACAAAATAAGAAAGCATTGAAACATGCTGTAAGCAGTATCTGCTTGCTCCTTATGCCAGGGATCCTCCAGCTGTGGCAGGACCCTTCTGAACTGGGCCCAGGATTAAGAGACCACAAAACCTGTAGGAAACTCTGGGGCAGGGGGTAATTGGGAGAAATCGGAACCCATCTGCCACCCCTCAGGGGCTCAGAGGAGCTCTGCAGCATATCCTGCTCAGTGGTACCACTTGCCACGCTCAGGGTTTGGTGGCACAATCTGAATGTAAGCAAAGTAAATAAATCCTCTTGGCTGCTGAGCTGTTGAACAGCCAGCTGGCGATGAGGGGATGATCATGGAGTTGCTATTCACTACCCAGAAAATAAAGTACTTGGTAAGAGACATGACTGCAAGCCCTCTCCCTCACTGCTAAGGCCCTGTAGCTTTGCTGGCCTTGCAAAATTTATTTCCCTTGTTGTAACTCTGGGCTGCCTCTCTCTTTCCGTAGGGTGTTTTTTTCCTCCAGTATGGTGGGAACCTGTGTTTCTTTCTTCAAAAGCAAAAATCACACATTCTTTGGCTTCCAAATCCGAGGGACCTGGTTAAAACTTAACTGACATCAGATCACTCATCAACTGCCAGCTCCACAAAACGTTTTTACTCCTTCTGTTTCTCTCCCCAGTGGAACTTTTCCATCTCTGCCTGTCGTAGGAAGTGGCTGTAGGCAAACCTCTTTGTGGAGGGGGCTCCCCTGCTCCTACATTGCTGCTGGATTAGTGTAGGAGGCGATCAGGCAGGGAGAAACCGTTTTGTCTGAAAGACAATGTTGGCACGTGCATGAATGGATGGGCCATGGAGGTGGGGAGGTTCCAGCCAAGAGCGTCTGCAGTTTGGGAGCAGCCCTCCAGAGGCAGTAGCCAAGGGAAAAGCCCGACCCACTGCAACTGCAGCTCAGTTGTGTTACACAGCATGAAAAACAATGACAGGTCCCAGATGGTCACTGGACAGACTATCCAAGAGGCTCCTGAGGGGAGACACAGGTCACTTGCCTTCATGGTGAGCTGCCCTTAGCAGATGTTTGGACATCGTGTAGTGATGACTACAGCATAACTTTTCCTTCTCTAAACCTGCAGCTTTCCCTTTAAAGAGCTCAACATGCCCCACATGCATCACCTCGGTGCTCCAGTTTGCTCTGAGCTCACCCATGCCAGCACAGGCTGTGAAACAGCTCGAGGGCCAACGCAGTGGGAGCTACAAATCTATTGTTAATTCAACAACAGTGACACTGTTTATTTTTGTTTGGTTTTTGCCTTGACCAGCAAAATCCTTTGAATGCTGCAACATGTTTGTCTGAATGCTGTAAGTAAGTGACTCCACAGATGACTGATATTCAAATATAACTTACTGGCGAAGCACTGACAGTGCATGGCATGAGTAATTGCAGTGGTATAACTATTTTTTAGGTGATGGAGACAGTCCCTCTTTCCAGAGAATGGTGTAAATGCCTCTGGTTCAGAGAAATCTGTGTCCTGCCAAAGCACTCCCCCGGCCCGCAGCCCAGCTCTTTTCCAGGCAGGCACCATGGGAGCTCATGGTGCAAGCATAGGGGCTGTGCTGGGGGCTGCCCCAGGGGAGACTTCTGAAAGGGGAGCAGGCAGTGCACAACCTTGTGTTTATGAGTGGGTTGCGAAGAAAACTCAGACAGCTGAAGGGGACAGAGCAAGCAAGCGGAATATTGACCAGATCTGGGCCTAGGTCGATGCTGAGCTTTTCTTCAGAGTCTCACCATCTTTCTTCCTTGGTCTTCTCCCCTCCTCCAGCTTTTCCCTTTGGTTGTTGTTTCACTATGTGCAGCTCCATGGTCCCATCATGCCTTAGGCAGACTGCTTTTTCCTTAACGTGGGGTAGCAGAGATTGACTTCTGCACCAATGAGCCTCCCCATTGCCAGTGTTTGAACCTGAGCTCTTCCCCCCGGGCTGTGGCTCCTGAGTGGACTGGGAAGCAATTCCCACCTGTGGTCAGTGATGGAGACCTGCCAGAACATTTCAAAAGATACTGCTGGAGGCCATGGGCAGATTGACGTTTTGATTTATTTCACTTTCTCTCACCCCTATGGAACTGGGTTTCTAGCATTCTCACTCGTCATCTTTTCCCTCTGCTCTCCTTCCAGGTTGCCTATTATTCAAGGAGGGACTTTTGCATTCCTGACCCCCACCCTGGCCATGCTGTCTCTCCCCAAGTGGAAATGCCCTGCCTGGACACAGAATGCCACCCTGGTGAATGCCTCTTCACCAGAGTTCATCGACGTCTGGCAGACGCGGATGCGAGAGGTATATTACATTTTCAGCGACACCTGCCCCATTGGGGCTGTTTGCTTTTAGAAAAGCACCTGACCATGGAAGGGCCATCGGTGCTGGGGAACTGTTCCCAAGGGACCGTTGCAGCTTCCTAAGTATCTTGTCTCTGGCAGAAAAGCAGGTGCTTTGCTGCTGCTGAGCAGGGAACACGTAGTCCTCGGGTGATTTATGGTCCCTGCAAAGTCTTCACGGCTCCAGCCAGATCCTTTCTCCATGAAGCATGGTTAGCCTTGAGGAAGATGTTTCCAAGGAAGGGAACCCTTCTAAGCATAGGAATCGTAGTAAAAAGAAATGCGAGGGCAGAACTTATTGTTAAATACTAAGGAAAAGTACATTCTTAAGTAGTCAAAAGAGGAGGAAAGGTCAGGGATCTCACTGCCTTGTCCTATATCTGTTGCCTCATCAGAATAAGTGGCTAAATTTGCCTCTATCAGTCCTTACGTTGGGGTGCTTTGCAAAGTGCTCAGGAGGCATGGTGAGCTCTCAAAGGGTTTGCCTAGCAGCATAGGCTGCCCTCCGTACTGATACACCTGAATTTGTCACAAGGGCGCTGCTGCCTCCTCCTTTCAGGCCATGTGCTTCATCCCAGCCTTTTGGGGCTTCCTTTGGAGCCAGAGTGCTGAGCACCACAGAGGACCCGGCCTGGGTTTATCACCAAATCTGCAACAGTAGGGAGCAGCCTCACCCCTGGGTCCCCTGCCTGGAGCTGACGTGAACTGCCAACAGCACTTCAGGATGTAATCGCTGGCTACTTAGCAATGCCTGTCAAACACAGGGAAGATCAGGGTGATAAATGTGCCCTCAGAGGAAAAACGATCCTCAGCAAAACTGATACTCAGCAAAACCAGAGGCTGTAGTGACCCACCTGCCCTATCAGGATGCTCCATGCCCTTCCCAGCTGGGAGAAGAGTGGAAACCACAGCCCTGCTCCCGTTTTCAGGACAAGAGCTTTTGCCCTTTGTTTTTGGGGAGCAGGAAGAGTGGGGGCAGGGAAGCTGACACATGCTTGTCTGGCCCAAGAGGACAGAGAGGAAGGGGTCTCTGGAACAAAATTAGCCCTTTTGAGGACTAAATCCATCAGCCAAGGGCGTAGTTGGTTTGCTGGTACTTTGGTGGTCCTTCCCCACAGGTAATGCTCAGCCAGGCTTTGCCGTAGCCAGTGGGAAGCCTCCGCACTGGTCTGTCACTGGGGGCTGAGCTTGGCTCTCACCAGTTTTGCACTGACTTATTAAGAAAAGGCTCAACATCTGGAGTTCCTTTCAACCTCTGCTCTCCTCTTCCATTTTTCCAGGTGCAAGGAGCTATCATTGTAGCCTCCTGCTTTCAAATCTTCGTTGGATTTTCTGGCCTAATCGGATTTCTGATGAGGTTCATCGGCCCCCTGACAATTGCCCCCACCATCACCTTGGTTGCGCTACCTCTCTTTGACTCGGCTGGGGACGAGGCTGGGCAGCACTGGGGCATAGCGTTCATGTGAGTCTGTTCCCCGTGTGAAAGCTGAGCGTACACAAACCGCCTGCCTCTAATACGAGATCAAATGTCACAATCTGTAGCGGGGTTCCCCTGGGTTTGAGGTTTATTTGCAGCATGGCATAGTGTCCCCCCCCGCCTCCAGAGGTTAGAGTCCGCAGCAACAAAGTGAAACCCAAAAATGAGCTAAAAAATCAGATTTTTTTTTTTTAAATCCAAAGTTCATAGGTCAGTAGAGAAACAAGTGTTTCTCTCGTGTGGCTCCTGGGGACAGTCTCTGTCACAGTTATCTACGCATACTGTCTTACCTTATTTAAGTTTTTAAAAATTCCTAAAATGACCAAGTTGAGCACTCAGAGTTAGGTAGTCCTTGGGTTAAAATAGCTGCTGTTCTATATATTGTTTTCACTTGACGAGCAGGAATTGTTTTCTCCACAGAAGGCCTGGGGGGCTCTGGAAATGGCTGCGCGTGTGGCTTTGCAGCGCTGAGTGCTGTTTCAGGGATGTTTGTGTGCCTGCCCTTGTGCATGGGTATTCACTGTGCTTGGTGACAGGATTTCCTTGGTATTTCAGAAACAAATTCAAAAAGTAGAAATGCTGCTGCATAGGTCCCTTGCAGGTCTGGCACCTTCAGGTCCCTAATGCAGACTTCAGCTCTGGGTAACACACAACAGGAGTAGGTTGTTCTCCCCTCTATGTGCTCCCTTCAGTTTGCTCGTGCTTTCAGAGCTGCCTTTGGAGGCTCAGGGGCCAGGCTCGACTGCAGCCCCAGGAAGGCAGCCTGCTGCTTTGGGGCTGTGCTCCAGTCCACCCCTGTTCAGTTCTCTTCTCCTCCCTGCACCTGCCCTCCCAGACACCAGCAGCCATCCCTCTTCTCCACCTCCAGTTCCTCCCTTAACTGTTTTCTTCCACCAGCACCCCGTGCGACTGCAAGCCCTGCCTGCCCCCAACTTTCCTTTCATCATAGTTTATCCCACCATATCTCTGGCTTGTCCTGTTCTGCACCTCTGATGATTTGTCCTAGCCCCTTTCCTTAGCCAGTCTGAATTTTCCCTTGAAAATGTATATCCTTGTCTGGACTATCTCTGTTTTCTGCTTTCTTTCTCTGGTCAGTAGGTCCTAACCTCAGTCCCTCGCTTGACCTCTTTGCTTAACTGTGCTGCTCCATTAACGGGGTCTGAGCCCTTCCACTGATGTCTCTGTTCTCTTGTCACCCCTTCTGGCCTGTTCATTTCTGTACCATCTTCTACCCATGCTAATCCCAGTCCTTTCTTTCATGACTCAGACACCTTTAGCCTCAGCCTGATCACTGTGCTTTGAGCTGGCTGTTTGTGTCCTCTTTTGCTGCCTCCTCCATACTCCATGGGTACCATTAGGGAAAGGAGGAGAGGGGTGGTGGAGAAGGCAGAATACATGAGCCATGTGGCCTCAGCCTTGCTGCCCAGCCCCATCCCATTCCAGAGCCCCCACGATGGTCAATACCTACTGTTGCCTCAAGAAATGGTGTATGCTGGTGCTGGGCAAGGCCTGGACATACTCAGAAAACTCTAAATCTTTATAGGCTGCAAATGCTAAAGCCTGAGATGTTCCTGCCAACTGCCTGGGACCTGGGATGAATGATCATTGTTACAGCCTGATCCCCGCTGAGCAGGTTTTTGTGAGAAAGAGCAATATCCCTCACCCCAGAGAACAAGTTCTACTAAATCTCAAATTTCTGCTCCAGGTCATAAGCAGTCCCTGCTGAAGGCAAAATGACCTTCTCAATGCAGGCTATGTGATATGTCCATTTCCTGGACATCACTCTTTGAAATAGGTTTGGGATATATTTTTCCAGAAATATTTGGCCTGAGGCAGGCCTTTTCTATGGAAATTTTCATCCTGAATGGGTAAAGTTAGGCAGAATTGCAAGCAGCTGAAAATAGTGTTTGTTGATGGAATGTGTCAGGCAACCTGAATAATAAGCAGTAACACCTACCCGGGATAGACGAGGGCTCTGCAGTGATTCATAAGGCTGCCGAGCACCTTTGTTAATGCAAATCCACAAAACGTGCACTGACGCAGTCTGTCTGGGATCCATAGCTTTAGAAACCACAAATGGAAACCAGTTCCTCCTCAATCTTTCTGCCTCCAGTCACTCACTGCTTTGAACTGTGATTGATAAACAATCTTTGGCTGTATGTCGTGGCGTGTCTTTGCAGGGAGGTGAGCTTAGCATTTCCTTTGCGCTGCTGGTAGTCTGCCTGTCCGTGAACATTGCACCTATGGCTCATCACCTTTTCACGCATGGAAAACTACCAGTTGTCAGCCGGTGCAATTGATTTCTCACCAAATCCTATCCGGATTAATCCACTCAATGTATGCAGTTTAGATTTGTTACAAGAAAACGAGGAGGCCTGGTTAACATAGGAGGAAAATGTCCAAGGTCATCTACCAGCTCAGCAACCAAGGTGGGGTGCCCAGTGCCCGCCCGCTCGACACTTACCACAGCCTCCCCTCTCCTCTGGTTGCCCTTTCTGGGGGGAAGACATAAGGGGGAGCAGACAGGGTTTGCTGTGAGTGCACCCAGCTGTCAGATGTGTCCTACAAGAGGGATGGGAGACGAGCTGCACCTCGTCATTGCTTCCACCAGAATGAACCCCGGGTCCTGCCGGGGGCACACGTGAGCACCCCTGCCTTGGAGAGCCCCCCCGCCACGCAGCCCTCGCAGGCTGGATGGCCGTGCTTTCCCCTGGTTGGCAGGCTGGGAGGGCTCTGTGGGTGCTGTGTGCAGCCCCGCAGTCCCAACCCCTCTCGTTCTTTCAAAACAAGGCCCTGCACAACCCAATCAAATCCTCTTTTCTTTCTCTGTGCCTCGTAGGAGCTTTTTGCCACTTGCACAGTTAAACCTGAAATCACAGGTAAACCTGAAATCACAGGTAAAACACAATACAAGTAAACCTGAATTCAGGGAACTGATAAATCCTCTATTTCCAGTATATCTGAATTACACTGAGGTTCAGGGGCAGTTTCCTGCATAGCCTACCTGGACCTTGCATCTCTCTCAGGTTTTTCTTTTACTCAAATGTAATTTTTAAACTCTGGGAACTGTGTCCTGCTCAATGATGCATCATCTTGGGGGACAGTTTTGAAACAAAAGGGGAAAAAATGGTATTTGCAAATGCAGCAGAGCTGTTGGTACAGTGTGGTGGAAAGCTTGTCCCACCCCAGGCTTGCTGGAGTGGGGAGCCATACTCTGATGCTGGGAGCCTGGGTTTTGGGGTGCTCTGGAGTCCTAGGTCCTCTTGTAGCAACTCCTCAGTTAATGTGGGGACAGGTGGGCAGCTCAGTACCCACTTTGTCTCATGGTCTGGTTTTCCCTCCTCCTAGGACTATTGCTTTCATAGTTCTGTTCTCTCAGTACCTGAAAGATGTCCCTGTGCCGCTGCCGTCTTACCAGAGAGGCAAGGGGTGCCACCTCTCCCCAGTCTACCTCTTCCAGATCTTCCCGGTACGTTGGGGTTCCCAGAGACCCAGTGGTCATGGCAGAGGGACTGGCCTCACCCGCCCTGGGCTGCCTGGGCTCTTTCCACTCATGTCCAGACGAATTAGTGCTTCCCAGCCCAGCTGGCGCAGTGAGGAGGGAGAGGGGGAGGAGGTCCCCATGGCCCTGCATGTGGAGAGGGAAGGAGCGAGGGCCACCAGGACCACCTGCCATCCCTCTGCCTCCATCCCACATGCAGGGGAAAGGGTCAGGCAGGGAGAGACCTTGTTCCCCACAGCCGTGCCGGAGATGTGACCGTGCCCTAACTGACCCCACTGCTGCATGTGATGGGCAGGTGCTGCTGGGGCTGTCCTTGAGCTGGCTGCTCTGCTACGTGCTGACGGTGACCGACGTCCTCCCTGCAGACCCCACTGCCTATGGCCACCTGGCCCGGACGGACACTCGTGGGGACGTTTTGTCCCAGGCTCCCTGGTTTCGGCTGCCTTACCCAGGTACTACTGCCCCTCCCCCTGCTTCCCCATCCCACCGTGCTGCTCCCTGCTTCAGCTCGCACCTCCGCTTATGGCTAGCAAGGGGAGATGAAACGCCAAAAATCAGGCAAGCACCCACCAGCACCCTTGCTGTCCCTCCCTGGGCAAACGTGCCCCACCGACCTGATCCAAGCTCTTTATTCACAGGCCAGTGGGGAGTGCCAACCGTCAGCCTGGCTGGGATATTCGGCATCTTAGCCGGAGTGATTTCCTCCATGCTGGAGTCCGTGGGAGATTACTACGCCTGTGCCCGCCTGTCCGGGGCCCCACCACCGCCCAAGCATGCCATCAGCCGCGGGATTGGGGTGGAAGGCATCGGCTGCCTCCTGGCTGGGGCCTGGGGGACAGGGAACGGCACCACGTCGTACAGCGAGAACGTGGGGGCCCTGGGTATCACCAAGGTGAGCTGTGCCGCAGTGGGGTGGCTGTGGGGCCCTGGCCCTCATGGAGCTTTCTCCCAGGAGTGTATTTACAAAGGTGTGGGGTGCACAGGGGGGTGTGCTGGGATGTGATCTTAGCCCACCTCCGGCAAGGCATACTGGAAAAATGTGCCCTGGCACGTTGGTGACTGCCGCAGCAGCACTGCAAATCGTCCGGCAGAGGTGGCCAACCCCCTCGTTCCCTGCTTATGGTCTCCGTGTGGGACCATGTGCCTGTGGCTGCTACCGCACCTGGCCTAGGTGAGACTGAGGGGAGTATGGTACAGCCGAGCTAACCTGGAAATGTTCTGAGGACTGACGTATCAGACTATCTCTGTCTGTCTCTCTGTTTATCTGTCCTCCTAAATATATTTACGGGGAGGAGAGGGGAGAGGACGGGAGGGGAGGGGGGAGAGGAAGAGGAAAACAAAAAAGAAAATATTTAATAGGGCTTCAAATTCCACAATTTTTATAACCCAAGAATGGCAATTGTGTGAAGGGTAGGCTATTTCTTTGGGATTATAAAATGCGATAGCAAAGTTTTATGTTTTTACCTCTCTATAAAGTTTTGTGAATCTCCTGGGTGTACTACCGCTCTTATAAGGAAAGGAAATTTCCAGAGATAATCTTGATAATCAGATCAGAGATTTTTCACTAAGCTTTATAGCTGGGGACAGGTACATCCAGCAGCCAACTGGAAAACATTTTTAAATCATTGTCAAATAAGCAATGTCATGTCAGCAGAGCTGTGAGTCAGTAAACAAATGCAGAATTTGACTTATGGCTCCCACTCTATAATACTGCTTATTTCCCTGGAGTTTGTAAACCTCGCTCACAATAACCATTTCTCACAGGCTGAAGCAGGTGTGTTGGACCGAGGTGGCTGCTCCCAGCAGCAAGGGCTATCTGGATGTCTGCATGGGGTCCAGTTCAGCCTGTCACCCCATATACCTTGTCACTATGCAATCTCTGCATACTGGCCATACACCTGAGCACGCTCTTTCCTGGCATGCAGTTTGCCACAGGCATTGTGCCTATGGGATGTAGCAGAGTGCAGCACTGCCCAGAGTCATAATTATCAGATGACAGGATGCATGTCCTTCAGGTGGACGTGCCATCCTTGCTCATTCAGGGCAGATGTTTCCCTTAGATCCCACCTCTGCTCACCTTGTTCATGCTTAAGAGAGCAGAAAATACAGTCTCATCTCAGCCAGCCTTAAATCAATGTGAGGATGCTGGCTGCGACAGACGGGGATGCTGAGCACAAAGCAGATTTCATTTTTCACATGGGAAACACATTTTTCCATAACAAATGGTAACACTAGGGACTTGTTTCCTCTGCCTAAACAGAGGGGTCCAGCACCACCTGAAACCTCTTTGGAAACCTCAGATGTTGTTGTGGTTTGACTCTGGCTAGC